AAGAATTGAAAGGAAATAGATTTTATTGGAAATTAAAAGAACCTCAAAGTGTTGGCGGGAACCGATTACAGCAGATTAATCCGAAGGAATTAGTTCTCCATAATTCATACAAAGCTCCAACAAATATTTTTGTGAATAGTGAATAGGATACTGTAAACGAGGTTTCCCCTCAAAATAAAACAATGGATTCAGTTTATAACCCAACTGGGTCAAAAACATAACCCAGGCCCAAAACAAGATCAAAACTAAAACAAAATTTTAATGCTGTAACTTGAAACGAAATTCTAGAATTTTGAGCTCCGAATCTGACTTTGACTCCAACATGAAAGTCGTAGCTCTCTCTCTTAGCTTTCTGGCAATTTTTAGAACGCCTCAAATGGATTCCCGGAACTCCAGTTATGATCGTTTCTGTGCAGACTGCTAAAGCTGAAAAATAGTTGCGATAATTAAATTAAACCAAAAATAAAATAAAACAAGAAAACATAATAAAATATAATAATAAACAAAATAAAATAAAGAAATGCCTAAGTAAAAATGTAGGAGAATGTGCATAAATATGCACTGATCACCTCATATAATCATCTCGCAGAAATTTTTACAAAACCACTTCCTATAAAAAGCTTCTTTTTCATAAGAATAGAACTAGGATTCTTAAATCAATAATGCATGGATTAATATGTTTAATTATCTATTATCATTCTTCTTCCTCCCTTTCCCTATTATATATGATTTATGTGCTATTTTTTTTTCTCGCCTTTTGGTCATGCCAAAGGGAAAGAAGTATAATCTCAGGGGGAATAGAGTATACTTTCTACTCATGTGATAGGGAGTTTGACCACTCCAAAAATTATCTATCTATTTTCTTTTTTACCACCTCCCTGAGAGATGTGTTCTGATCATAAAAATTGGTAGAATGTGGATCTATGTACTTACATGTATGAAGTTGACGATCCTGATATTAACTCTCTTGGTGTTTTAATGATGACAACACTAATGATGGTTGAAGTCAGTGGTGATATCCTTCCAACTCTTTGATGACGTTGATTAAATCTAATATATCTCAAGCCTCATAAAGTAGAAGGTTCAAGGTTCTAGTAAATTAATTATATTATATGTATATCTAGAAAAGGAACTTGAAAGCTTCAGAGTTATGAAAGAGAGGAAGTGTGAAAGTTCGCCTAGTCGTGTCTCCCCGAGTGATTAGAGTCTTGTGAAAGTAGGAGAGTAACTCCTAAAATACTAAGGAAACTTGTAAACACACCTAAAATCATTTTAAGACCTATCTTTACTTAACAAAATCATCTAAAAATGTTTTTGGAACATATCCAAATAATTAGGAAAATGTCTAGTTAATTGGAAGCAAATTTTCAACTAAATAATTGACTAGAAAATGACCTAATCGATTACGACTGGATTGGTTAAGTCTATAATCAATTGGTACAATCTCTTAATTTTTGGTAACAGTTATATATAAAAAATTCCATTTTTAGCCTAAAAACTTGATTATTTAGGGGTGCCTAACTGATTAGCCTAATCAATTATACCATTAATTCAACCCTTGAATTGTTTGCTTTTTTAGCCACGTTTTCGCCTACATAAATAGGCCTCTCCTCATTCGTAATCACACCAAATTTTGGATGTTTCCTAATTATTCATATTTTATCACTCTCTTTAAATACTTTCTTTCACCAAAGTTGGCTTAATATCTTGTGAGTGAAAACTATTTATGAGGGAAATATTGTATTGGTGTCGTGCCATTTTTTATTTCAAGAGTCTGATATTCATGAAGAATTGAGTTTGGTTTTTGATATAAACCGTTATAAAATATATGTTTGGTTATATAACCCAGTCTCTAATTGGTTCGTGAGTTCATCCCATATAAAAGCTCTCTTTTGGTTGGGGAGATAAGCCATTGTAAAATTTATTGATTGGCTTCTATCAAAGGTTCATGGGCATAACCAGTAAAAGCTCAAAATTATAGCGACCTCTCAAGAATATCTCTTGGGGACAAGATTAGGCCAACGTTCGTCTAAAACTGTATAAATCTTGGTTTCATCTCACTAACCCTTACTCTTTAAATTATGTCATTTACATTATTCTCTTTATTTATTTTCACTGCTCTTGTCACTGATTTTCTTAATACTATAATTCAAATACCATAATATAGAATTAAAATAACATAGTTCACCTCCTCTTGTGCTTGGAGTCACTTGTTCAACACTCTTTACATTATACAAACAATACTTTCTAGTACATGTCATTGTTTTGCGCATCGATCTTCCACTAAGGCAAGTATTTCATTGACTATATTTGGTTGAAAAATTAGCCATGTGGTCCATCGTGATGTTCGAATTCTACATCTTTTTCGAATTCTACATCGTGATGTCCGAATTCTACATCTCTTGCAAGCATAATTGTTCACACATTTTATAGTAGAAATGACTCCAAAAATATTAAAGTCATTCCATACCTGGACCGTGTTTACAGACAGATCATCCAACAATCAAGGGAGTGGTGCAACTTGATATTAAAAAATGAAGTTGGTTGGGTGGTTGAGGTATCCCTATGTTTTTGATTCTTAACTAACAATCAAACATGCCAAATATGAAGCTTTCATCATCGGCCTCACATTCCCTTTTAAATGGGGCAAAAAAATTAAGTTTCCAACAAATTCAAAATTTGTAGTGTCATCGGTCAGAAAATATGCTTAAACCAAAGATCCTTTACTACAACCATATGTAGCCATGACAAGGGAAAAGTTGGAGAAATTCAAATCTCATGAAATCTTGCACGTCCCAAGAGAGAAGAATGTCAGAGATGATGTGTTTTCTATGGTTGAAAGCACTAGAGCCATTGGTTTTAATCATTATTTCATCCTGGAAACTTCGAGGAGCCAGCGAATCAAAACCCCCAAAGTAGTTTTGATTATCGTAGAAGCCACCCCACAACTTTCCCGGGTTTCATCCATAGAAACATACATTGAGTAGATAACACTTCCCACTGATTCAGTCGAGGCCGGTCTCATAAAGAGGAGGGCCAACTCATATAGAAGAACATTTGTATATAAAAGGTTGATTTACCCGTCTACTAAAATGCCTCGGGGGGGGGGGGGGGGGGGGGGAAGGGAGAAGTTACACACACCCTCTATTAGGTACATGAAGGGATAGTGGAAAAAAACTTGGGAGCTTAGGCTCTAGATAAGAAAGTCCTCAAGGACGAGTATTAATGTTCATCCATGGTCTAAGACGCTAAAGTGTGAAGAAGTGTAGACATTACTAAATACATGAAGATGTTCATAATGGTCCTCCATTCGAGTTATAAATGTAGACATTAGTGTGGCCTCCCTAGCAATGGTGTAGAAACATCTTTAGTCCCTTTCCTCTGGCTTCAGGTCACTTAAAATTCCTTGTGGCAACAAATTATCTTACAAATTGGACCGAAGCAGAGGCTTTGAAAAATATCATGCTGCCAACATTTTGAAGTTCTTCAAAAGGAACATTTTGGCAAGGTAAGGAATCCCTCAATCGATCGTGATGTTTCTATGTTGAGACTAACATTTAATGTGCTTATTTCCAAGATCACTCGCGTGCCTAACTCTTTCCCATTTCTCCAAGTAGTAACTCCAACACGGTAAGTTCGACACAATTTTCTTAAAGACTTCTCATTGTTGTGCCTCGTCAAGTATTAGGGGCAACCGTTCTTGGTTGGCCACATATTCAAAAGGGAGAGGACCAATCATTAGTCCAAAGTCACTCCACTAAGACTTTAAAGGTACATTGTAATCCTACTCTAAAGCTTCACACTAAATCCACGTCATAGATTGATGTCTACCGTTATTCCGCATTTCACACCAAAAAGTAAGAGAAATCTATAATCACCCCTCATATATAAAATATTCTACGTGAAATTTGAGATGCTCTTTGAACCATAACTCATATTACTCTTGATTCTCTTATTGATTTGTACCTAACATTTGTGATTTTAAGCTGAAGAATATTAACATATGTTAGAAAGGATTGTTATGCTTGTTGGCCCAGAATAAGGGCAATCTTCACCTAATCTTCGCCAATAGATATGTTATTTGCCAAATGCCATTGCTAGATTTTATCTTCGTATAATCGCAAGTCGTCTTAAATTGATTCATTAGTGTGTACGTATCATTACTATTCTTTACGTTCCCGAGTCTCGTTTTTCGCTCATTGCAAATTACTAATATTTTGCAAATCTCATTCTGATTCTTGCACCATTTAACTAGAATCATATTCTCTCACATAGGGGGATTAATGAATGGAAAAAAAAAAACATTATCAGCATTTTAATATTTATTAATCAGGTCATTTGCTGGAACCAGATTCTTTCTAGAAGTAACAAATGTAAGCTCGTTCTAGAAAACGAAAAAAATAATAATCTTAAATCTTAGTGCTGGATAATACTATTTTATACTAATGTGGGATCATTGGTAATTGGACTCTTCACTACATATGTAATCTGACTTTACAATATGATCATGTTGATTTGACCTTTTCAACCCTTACTAAAACTGACGAAATGTTTTCTCTAGTTTTATTACTATCATTTATATTTTTCCTGGACTACAAATTAAGTATTTCTTTATTTCTTTCTGCATTTATTAGTGAAATAATACGAAAATATTAATGACGTGGAAAACATATATTCCAAAGTAAGGTTAGAATGGTAAATTAACTGAATTTCAAACCTTTGCAAAGCCACCACTTTGACCATCCCAATACAATGAACATTGAAGCTTTTCCAATTAATTTTCAATTTGGTCAATACGTCTTTCATTTTAGAACCTTCTCATGACCAGCACGTGTCATTCATGCTCACTTCACGTGCGCTATCAAACATAAGACTCTGATTCCATTTTTTCAACCATATATAAATAAACTCAGTTTGAGTCCTAACCTTAAACCATGCATGCAAAACAAACAACACACAACAAAAATCTAACCAAAGAAAACTAACCTGCTAGTGCTACCATGAATAAAGATGAATCAAAGGGAAGGACCAACAATGACGGCGGAAATGTCCGGTACCGAGGCGTCCGCTGTCGACCGTGGGGGAAGTTTGCGGCCGAGATTCGCGACTCGAACAAGCAGGGTCAGAGGGTTTGGCTAGGAACATTCAACACAGCTGAAGAAGCTGCTAGAGCTTATGATAGAGCTGCATATAACATGAGAGGTTCATTTGCAATCCTTAATTTCCCACATGAATATAACATGTCAACCGGTGCCGGCTCCGGTTCGGGTTCCGGTGCCACTTCTTCTTCCTCTTCAAGGAATGCAAATGTGGATGGCAGAGGAAGACAAGTGTTTGAATTTGAGTACTTAGATGATAAGTTGTTGGAGGAGCTTCTTGATTTTGAAGAGAAGAAAAAATAAGGGACCTTCAAATTCACCAATGAGTTTATATGGTGATTTATTAAAGTCTAAATCATAACTAAGTTTCTGAATATTGGTGGAAATTAATATTCATGTGAGATTTAACTACTAAGAGTGCATTATTGATTGAGGGAGTTAATGCATCAAGCATTGATCTCATTGTTGTTTTGGGTTGTAACCTGTAACTTTGTTTTTAGACTCTGTTTCCTCTGTACTGCAGAATTCGCAGATAATATATATACATGTTAGTTTCTATTTCTCGAAAATAACTGTGGTAAGAAACATGTACAGCATTTATTACTTCCTTGTTCTTTCTGTTTTATTGCATGTGTCTCAATTTTACGGACGGGACCACAAAATCTAGACAAGAAAGGTGACCAATTAAGTTTCTTTTGTCTCTCTAATCTCTCTAGTATAATTTAGTGATGAAAAAGGGTTGTAGAATAAATTCTTTAAAAGTTTATGTTAATTTTACGTATTTATAAAAAAATATTATTGAATTGTTGGAATGATAAAAATAATTTTTTTTTAAATTATTATTTCGGAGCATATTGGATTTTAAAGAATTCTTAGTCTTTCAAATCAAAACCAATTTACTAAAGTTTAGAATAAAGAGACAAGGGAAGCACATCCATGTGAATCTCGAATAAACGCGCGTTTAGTGCACACTTCTGTTTAAATGTTTACTCACTTTCAGCAAAGATCTTCTTAACCCATCAAACTTGTTGTCCGCCCTTTGCTACTTCAAAAAGATTTTCGAAACAAATATGCTTTACCCATATTGATGTGAAACAAATAAAGACTTTCGTCTCCAAGAGTGAACAACAAGTAAAAGTTTAATCACTTGATATGTCTAAAGAATCACTCCTTAAAAGCAATCAATCTGGTGCTCTCTCTTAGTAGAACTACGTAACCTTGAGTTCTTCATAGCACCTGAAGATACGTAGTAGTAGAATTTTAAAATCTTGTCAGACACACTTTTAATAAAAATGTCCACAGCTTTAATAAAAACGTTCATCCCTTTAGTAAAAAGCACCCCTCTAATTAAAAAAAAAAGTTCTTTCCTTTCTTTATTTCTCAATCTTCAACGAATCTATTCTTGGTATTTATTTAAGGACGAAGATTGAAAACATTCACAAGTTCTTGAAACATCTCTCTGAGCAAAATCTCCATCTCTTAAGAGAATGAATGTGAGTTGAAGGTTTTGTGACTATGTTCACATGGATGTAATACCAGTTTACTGAAATCAGTTGAGAGACTATGTGTTTTACAAAAAATACAGATGAGAGAAACACACGTCAAAAGATTACATAACCAGAATGGTTAAGTGTGTTAGATTACAGTGAATCATATTCATATATATTCTGAAGAAAAAATATGTGAATATGATTAAGAACAAGAAGGCACAACAAGATGGAAATCTATGCAAGGAGAGAAGAAGAATGAAAACTTCATTCTTCTACACTCATAAGCAAACAATTCAAATCTGTTCAAGAGTGTAATCCTTTGTGTATCTGCTTATTCAAGGAGTACTTATATGAACACAAGGTTAATACCATATTCCTTTATTATGAGAATCTGAAGATTCTAGCCTTTGTGCTCAAGGTAAACCTTTTTCTATGTGATTGAGCATTGAAGTCTCATGCTTGTGTGCAGAGCAAAATATGAAGGTGGAAAGAAACATAAGAAATTGGAGTTGAATTGGGTTTCTAAAAACCAAACCTTTTTATAAAAAACGATTCAAAACGCAAACACACGAACAATAAAAATAACACGTTATTTTTATATTGGTTTGTTGCTAACTAAGCTACCTCCAGTCCACCTTACCAAGGTGATTTCTCCTTCTCAATAAGGACTTAATTCACTATAATAAAACTGGTTACAAACACCACAAAGACAACTGTCTCTGTCTTCTCGGGTATACAGACTAACCCTAGTCACTCAAGAAAATCACTCAAACAAATTTGAGATTTACAGACTATGTTTACAATGATTACTTCTAGTAAGCAAATTAACACAAAGTTTAAGTACAATGAAATACTCACATAATATGAACAAAATCTCTATGTGTATTCATACAATATCCACAAAATAATATTATCAAAGAAAGTGCAGCAGCGTGAATAGTGTTGAACAACTTGTGAATCGTCAACCTCATTCGTTCTTCCAAGTCTTCCTTATATAACCAAAGAAAGATCCGTTGGAGGAGGGAATGGAAATCTTCATGAATGAGCTGACACCTTGAATAACCATCATCAATGGTAGGAGACAAAGTCGTACAACATAAATGTTCTTACTCTACAAAATCCACGTAGTGGAGGGGATGTTTTGATCTTGTATTGTATACTATTTATCTCACATAAAATGGTTTGATCTGATCTTTCGATCGTCAGAGGCTTCTGAATAAATGTTGTTTGAAACATGTTTAGAAGAATCAAGGGCCTTGTTGAGAGTTTTCAGAACTTAAGTTTTCAGAATCTTGACATTGTTCCTCATAATTGCTCTTTAGAATCTTTAGCACTTTGATCCTCATAATCTATCGCTTGAGCGAAGAATCTTGAAGGTAAGCAATCCTTGAGAGGTTTCTTCAGTCAGAGTTATGATCTGAAGCTTTAGCATGAAAATTCTTCAGAATTGCCGTTTAAGAGATTTCTAGGACTTGACAACATCTTGTAACTTGATTGTTTCTCTTCAGAGTCAGTGTGTGTTGATTCCAAAATCTGAGACGTCGCACGTTAGAGCTTCAAAGTCAGAACATGTTTAGCAAAACCTACACACTAGACAAAAATCATTAGTGTACAAAATTTTGTTCTAAGAAAAAATGTATTGTTATCATCAAAACTAAAGGCCAGATGCAGAACTAAAATTTATTCTCATAAAATTTTCTGAACTAGATGTTTAGGCAATTGAAGCCTCATGCTTGCGGGAAGAGCAGAAAGTCCTGAACAGGTAGTTTAGACAAGGAAGTCTCATGCTTGCTGGCTTGAGCAGAAGTCTCTTTCCATGGGATTGAGGAGGAAGTCTTGAGTTGTTGGCTTAAGACATTATAATCAGACTGATTATAGTTAACAACTCGTGTGCTGCAAGGGGACTGAAATACTCTTAGTTGAGAGTAATTAGGATATGTTGTGTGTCTCTTTATTTACTTTTGCTTTTATACTTTGTTGTGCAAACATACTCTGAAGTCAGACTCTGTTATGATTCAGTCTCTTACTTGCATCAAAATCTGAGCTTGCCACCTCATGTTCTGAAGCAGAGCTAAGTAGAGGAAGTAAACTTTTCACTACTGTTACTCACCCTAATATCTGACTCTGAACATGGTTCAGAATCTGATGGTTGATTAACAGTTAGTAAAAAGAGTTTTATATTTGGACATACACAATTCAACCCCCCATTCTTATGTATTTTTATCATCTTCGAGATTACATTTGATAATTTCAAAGTCTGTATGAATTTGTTGAAGTAGTTTATTTTGACAAATTCTAAGAATCCGTATATTCAACAGAGTCAATAAGTTAGAATTCGACAAAGTTGAATTTAGTATTTTTGTGTAACACTTGAGTTAGTTATTTTGTGATTACTTGGAATGCAAGTTATCTCATTATAAATGAAAGGAGACTCTATATAGCTACATATAACTCATTCTCTGTAATCACTTTAATACACAATTCAGTGTAATAGCACAGTGCAGTACATTCTTCTTCTTCCACTGAAATTTTGTATTCTCTAAAACATGAATTTTTCTTTTTTTTTCATCTCTTCAAATCTAAGTGCAAAGTAGAATTATCTTGAAACCAAGGTATCATACCCCAAATTTTTACCCCTAGATTCCATTATCATTCTAGGTGCATTAAACATGTGTTATCTAACGCTAACCTCTTTCAAGTTTGTCTTTGTCAAGATGCAGATGAATTAGGGTTTCACACTATAAACCTCAAGAATCCAGTGGATTGATCAGTCAAGGTTTTGAATTGATATCCTACATATCAAGTCTTCACATCATCAAGAGGTCCATATCTTGACAAGAATAAGTGCTATTTGACGTCGTTACCCCGAGTATTGAAGAAGTGTTGTGTAAAACCCTGATTAGGGTTTCTAGTTAAAAAAGTCAATTGTAGTTTGACTTTTGGTCTAAATGGGTTTCCAAAGCTTGAACCATGGTCCATGATGTTTCTATGACTTATTGAAGTACCCCCAAGAAGTATGAAAGTTTCAAAAACCCCAGAACACTAAGGATCGATCCTGAAGATTTCAACTGTTTGGTTCGTCTGTTTGAAAAGTCAACTCTTTGACTTTTAGGGTTTTGACCCGAAATTGAAGCAATCAAAGTTTCTAACATCATTTTATGCCTAACTAGTGAGTTTGGTGAAGATTTAATCAATAATTGATGGATAACTTGTGAATCAAGAAATTAGGGTTTATGAAAAACCCTAATTACAAGCTAATTTGGATTGGTCATAACTTTCAAACCACACATCCAAATTGAATGGTCCAAAGATGGTTGGAAAGCTCTTGAGGAGTCCTACAAAAGTTTCCTATAAGGTTGAGGTCCAAAAATGCATATATTTGGAGTTATGAGCTCACCATGTTGTGAAGGATTTCCACACTTAGAAAATTTCCTTGTTTCTTGGCTTGTAAGTCAGCTTTTGCAACAAACTTCATGAGGCTTTTTGACATAGCTCCCTTTGGAATTTTAACTTTGGCCAAACATGAAATTTGTAGATCATATTTGGGGATTTTTAAAAAGTATTCGAAGAGGACAAGTTAGGCATTTTTCATGTCACAAAACCAAGTTCAACACTTGCATTTTGATGCATAAACCATTCAAAACACTTCTAAACACTTTCTTAAATCACTCTTTGATGCTTACGGACTTATTTGATGAGATTACATTGTATTGTCACGAGCCAAAACTAGATTTGGATTGTTTTGAATTGTTTATTCTTGCAAGTACAAGCAAGTGGCAAGGAGAGAGAAACTTTATGCAAATTCTGCCATAT